GGTGCTGCTGGGCAACGAAAAGCTCTGAAGAAAATTCTTCACCTGGTGCAAGCGTTTGCAATGCTATGCTTTGCGATAAAGAGGATGAGGTACCTGTAAATTCGATTTAAATGGAAAAAAATAAATAACAATGTTCTGGAATAAAAGAAATTGCAATCAAGTCATCTACAAAGAGCTTCATGACTGAGTAAAAAAACTAACTTGCAGTATCAGCCATTGTTGGCGATAAAGAAGCAGAAATTGACCAGCCTATGAGATCATCTGAGGTTTTGTTGTGAATTGTGAAAAGAATCAACAGAGAACCGGATGCTAGACACCGCATCTAAAAGCAAAATTACAAATTATCGCACATGGAACGAAAGGTGCAATGTCATAGTTTTTTTTCCCTTACCTCCATACCCGTCTCGATGGGGAACGACGTAACGCGATTCGAATAGCAGTCACTCATTAGCTTTTGCAGTTCCATGGCAAATTTTATCTACAACTTGAAACTATAGGTAATTTGGGTAAAAAAATGGTCCCAGCACAAATTCAGCCCAAAAATGAGGTACCTAAATAGGTAGCTTCTCCTTCTATCTGCTTCATTTATTACGAAAGCGAAGGATCTATGGGAAAAATACAAAAGTATTTCACAACTTGTTGCGTGTGGTTGCCGCATGGTCCCTCTACTGACACATACTATGATCCGCAACCAAATAAGGAAAGTAGATACAGGCAGAAATTACCTGTCGCGCAAGTTCATCTACATCATCCATTTTCTTTTTCAGTTCTTCATACTTTCTCATAAGCTCGTAAAACTTTTCTTCGTCTGATCCGTTCCTCTTCGCTACATTTTTCCCAGGCGAACTGTCCACCGTAGATAGACTGTCAAAGTCGTCATCATCACTGAACATTCTAAACAATTTAAAATCGCAACCGATCAGCGCTTTTGGGGACTCCATTATTAGAGATTTGAAGCTATAACCCAGAAGATTTTTGTATAAACATAAGGAGATGCTGATTCAAGCTTTCACCAACCCTCGTCTTCAAAAATCTTCAGCGACTCCGCTCACAGACACACAACAACAAACAACACTGATATGGCAGTTTTATCGATAAAATTTATGGGCAAATATTGAACAAGACACGAATGACATTACACGTATACAAGATCACATCTATTATCAACATTTCGAGAGAAACATGAATTAAGTTCGGTTCATAATAACTTCAATTTGACTAGAGCTTGTTTCACTTCTTCGTTCGTTTCAGATAACTTTATCAGGTCATCAATGATACATCGTACACGTACTACAAACTGTCCGCTTTTGGCACACCGTTTCAGCAGATTGGATACGAGCTTCACAACCTTGAAAATATGGATTAAACAGATTCTTTTACGAGCGAAATGACATACTGGTCCTCGGAGTTCCAGCCTTACGACGGCAAATTCAAGAAGATGGAGTGCAACAGTTGGTTTTGCTGGTGACTGCGTTTCGATCAGCGCAAGTAGTTGCTGCATAATCATATCAAGATTCTCCATAATGGCAGTGCTAAAAAGAGGAAAGAGTTGACGGGACTTATGAAGCAATAGCATTACATACGTATATATACTACTTGATCCATGAAAGACATCATTCGATTGCACATTGGTGAATTTCACGGGGAATTCTCGACGAGACACCGCCCAAAGGTATCGCAAACAAAGTATCCAAGCATCTCCGAGCATACCTTCGCTATTCTGCGGCCATTTCTTTCTGCAATATCAAATAGCAAACAAGAATTAAATAATGAAAACAAAGAGATAAAAAGCCCAGCACTCACCTCTGAACAACTTTGACAAATTCTTTAAACATGAGCAATGGTTGATCCTTAGAAGTATCCGGAATAAATACAAGAAGTGCAAGAAATTGTGAATATAACGATAAGCATTGAGCTGGTGATACATCGAGATCGTTCAGTGTTTGTAGGGAATAGTGGAGAAGAGCTTCGGTCTGAAAATGAGACTTCTAACGAAAGAAAAGGGCATGCCTAGACTAACCTGGGGTCGAGAGTTTGCCAAGAGGCTCAAGTAAATTGTTCGCAGAGTAAAATGTAATCTCAAGGCAGGATCGTTTATGGAGGGAGTGGTTATAAACAAGTTGGAAATAAGTGCCCTGAACTTGTAAACTTTCACGAAAAAACGAATATTATGAAGTTACCTCATAAATGTGGCCTTTTTATTGGACGCAGGCCGATTTTTGTAAAATTGCAAAGCAA